GCCTCGGCGCGCAGAGTGGTCAGGTGGCTGCCCCCCCCACCCCCACCTGCTGGCGGGTTGGGGGTGGGTTGGGGGGGTGTGTGGAGAACACCCCCCACATCTTCAAGCTGCCAAGGTTAAGAAACACTGTCTTCGACTACCCTGTACATACTGGTTTTGTATATAATGTTTTCAGTTGTGATATTAGGGCACACTACTTTATTAGCATAGATATCATAGTGTCCAGAATAAAACCCCTCATTTGTTTAAGTACTGGCTGTGTGGGGGTCGGTATCAGCTCCTATTCTGAGCCACTCTCAACTGGATAATCGATCTGGAACCCCCAATGATGCACCTCTTCCTCCAATCCTAGGTCACTGATCTAGGTGGGATTTAGGGGGGCCGCAACAGGACTTTGACTTCAATGATAGTCCTCAGACAGCTCTTGGAAGACAACCTTATTCTATATCTTGACTAATTCATGGAAACAAGATCATTACAATCTCCCCAGATGGTGCTCCAGTTTGCATATACTGTATTTAACAATAATGTAATTTGGGCCCCAGATCAAGATCCTTCTCCAGCTTGGAATTTCAGATCCTCTAAAAGCAGACTGAATATGGAAGCTGCTAGATGGCACCCCCTTTGCATCATGTCATTATATCCAAGTTGAGAATCTCTGTTCAGAAGTAACATCTTGCTTAACACATACTGGGAACAGGTTAAGTGGAGCGTTGGGTTGAGAGGGAACACTGCATTAGAAGGGATCTGAGGAAAGGTCAGCATGGATGTTTCTTGTTAGTGAATTTACTGAGGAGGCTTAATGGGGTAGATTAATCTCACTTACCTGATTGGACTGCTTTGAATGTCACACTTGTTTCTGAAACCTGGTGACAGGGAAGATACGGGATCTCTTCCTGTTCCAGCTTTATTATTACATCCGGAAGCTCTGATCAGAGGAAATGAGATGTGACAGAAGTGGTATTTTGATAACTGGCAGCAGACAATATCTGCAATTTTCTGTGCAAATCCCAGAACTTTATACAATAATTCAGAACAACTGTTTCCAACCTGGCATTCTGCAAATGTATTGGGACTTCAACTCCCAAAATTCTCTTTGCCCTGCTGCCTTGGAGTCCCGTGAACGGCAGTCCCAACAGTTCTGGAGGACAATAGGCTGACTTAGAGCCAGACTATGAATTATAGTTCCCCCCACAAAAGGTACACAGTCATTTCAGAACGGGAACATTTCATGAAGCATAACATTAAGGGCGTATATAGAGAGGAGGAAGAGCCATTTTGTCTTAGCGTACTTCAAAACACAATTGTGGTATTGCTCCTAATTGTTTTATCTTCAAAGCAAGGTTATTCAAGTGGCTGAATTAAAAACTGAACTTGGTTTCCCAAACTCCAGAGCAGCGTTTCTCAACCTTGGGAACTTTAAGATGCGTGAACTTCACCTCCCAGAATTCCCCAGCCAGCCATGGTGGCTAGGGAATT